CCCCAAAACCCCAAAACCCCAAAACCCCAAAACCCCATTAAAAACCCTTGATATTGAAACTTATCCTTTAAAATTACCACTCTCTAAATCTCGAAATATCGAATGCCTCTTCAGATCTACTAGCTTAAAAATCTTATCTGTTCTTCTCAAGTAAGTGATTGATTTATGCAAATTCCTCCTATCCAAGCTGTAGGATAGAATTCCATGCTTTCTTAGTGAATTTTGCTATAAATTAAACCAGATGCTCACCTTCACTTGTTCAGCCAAAGAATCACCATTCCAAAGATTCTTACTAGGGAAGAGGCCTTGCCATGCTTCAGTGCCTTTAGAGTCATGATATCGCCCTTGCTTTTTATGGTTCTAAAATTAACCCTCAAAATACCTTGTAAAACTCTTGAGGAGAGATATGCTTTTGATCCTCTGCATCAATTCAATAAGGATCCTTCAAAGCCCTAGAAGTCAGATAGGATGTTACTTTTGTCCAACAGGTCTGGCAACGAAGGAAATTTTATTGATCTTTTTATCCACATTTTCGAACGTATTATCTGAATTTAGCAAACTGCTGTCACTCTCCTTCCTCTTGTAGATAGTCTTGCTAAAAATTGGGAGCTAGATGAAGGATCAAATAAAGTGTTTCAAGTAAGTTCATGCTCTCATAGCACTTTATAAGCAAAATTATACCGAATTGACATACCTTGTGGCAAAGATTATACAATTCTTCAGATTCAGCTCTCAAAGGCGAGATTTCTTCTTGCTGTTTGTAATCGTTATTTTGAGGACTTCTCAGCTTGGAAGGAAATGAAGATACTGTCCTTTTGTCCTGTCTCTTTCTATTTAAGCTCAGTTAGTCGAATGTTCCGCTCTTGAGGATTCAGAATGTTTTTAAGAGCAGGCTGCATAGGTTCATATCTATCTTCATCTGATTCATTAAGTTGGTTGTCATCAAATTCAACAAGATCAGCATTACTAAAGTCTATAAGGCTAAACTTACGGTCTTTCAGGACTAGTAGCTTCATTGTGACTCCTGGGGTCTCTTGATCTTCTAACTTCTCGAATCCGCTTAATTAGCTTCTTTGTGCTTGCAGTTGGTGCAAGAGATTTATCTTGGTCCATGACTGCTAGAGATCTACAGTATTAGCTAAAAATACTCTCTGTTATTTATAAAAGATTGGCTCCAAAGTTATCTTATTTTTGTTCTTTAGAAACGAAATTTTGATTTTATTTATTCTCATCAAGCGGGTACATCAAGCTTGAGCTTTCCAACTCTAGATTTTGAGCTACAAGATTATTGAAGAATTTACGCTGGCAATAAGAGTTATTCTTAAACGTGTTTAATGATTTTCTGACCCTTTTCCGCCTTGTTTTCTTCATATGATTCATCTGTTGCCTAAAATACTGATTTTAAATGCCCAGAAAACACTTTTGTTTTTAGAGTTAGAGAAAGTGTAGAATGATTACTTATAGATGTTATCAAAGCTTTCCCAATGAGCCTATAAAACATCAGAGCCTGATGACTACTTTTTGGTGCTTTCTAGGTGAGATAGTGGTCATTAAATATAAATTTATAACTTTTTATATTGGGGTTTTGGGGTTTTGGGGTTTTGGGGTTTTGGGG